CAGGGTCTCCCTGTAGCCCCAGCTGTCCTGGAACTCACTATGTAGACCGCTGCCTCTGCCTCCCAAGTGCTGGGATTAAAGGTGTGCGCTACCACGCCTGGCAAAAAAAATTTTTTTAATAAATAAATATAAAATGAAAAACTGTCTTGGGCTGGGTATGGTGGCACACACCTTTAATTCCAGCACTCAAGATGCAGAGACAAGCAGAGCTCTGTGAGTTCAAGGCCTATTTGGTCTACATAGTGAGTTTCAAGCCAGTCAGGGCTACATAGTGAGACCCTGTCTCAAACAAAAGTCTTGCTAGGTGTCCGGTCGCATATCATAAGGATCACAAGTTCTAAGTCAGGGAGTTAGGAATGTTGTTCAGTTGGTAGAGTGCTTGCCTAGCATGCATAAAACCCTGGGTTCAGTCCCCAGCACTACATAATACCAGGTATGGTAATCCCAGCCCTCAGGAGATGGAGATAAGACAATCGGGAATTCAGTTCATGCTTGGCATAGCAAGTTTAAGGCCAGCCTGAAGTACAAGAGGCTCAATATTTAAAAATATTTATAAAATATTTAAAAACCAAAGTCAGCTCGAGCAACTACTGAGACCCACTCTCAAAACACCAAGACTTGCTCAGTGGTAAAGCACTTACCTAACATGTATAAGACACTAAGTTCATTCCATCAGTGCAAAAAAAAAGTTCCTTTACTATATATCCCAGTCTTTAATATAATAATAATGTATATGAAAGCTCCAAGAAGAAATCATGGTTTTCATACTACCCAAAATTTAGGGGCTGGAGAGATGGCTCAGTGGCTAAGAACACTGGCTATTCTTGCAGAAGACCCGGGTTTGAATCCCAGCACCTACATGGTGGCAGCTAACAACTGTCCGTAGCTCTAGTTCCAGGGGCTCTGACAGCCTCTTCTGTCTTCCGTGGGTGTTGCATGACACGGGTGCACTTACCTACATGCAGGCAATATGTAATATACATAAAATAAACTTTTTTTTTTTTTTTTTTTTGGTGTTTTTGAGACAGGCTCTCCCTGTAGCTCCAGCTGCCTGGAACTCACTCTGTAGACCAGGCTGGCCTCGAACTCACAGAAGTCCGCCTTCCTCTGCCTCCCAAGTGCTGGGATTAAAGGCGTGTACCACCACGCCTGGCTATTTATTTTTAAAAAAACAAAAAACTGGAACTTGATCTCAAACAAAAACATGTTAAAAAAAAATAATTTAGTTGGCAGGGATTTTTTTTTTTTTTTTTTTTTGTCTTTTTGAAACGGTCTCCTTGTAGCTTGTAGCTCTAGCTGGCCTGGAACTTACATAGATCTGCCTGCCTTTGCCTCCTGAGTGCTGGGTTTAAAGGCGTGCGCCACCATACCCAGCTGAGTTGGCAGTATTTTAAAAAAAAAAAAATTTAATA